TACGGATACACTAATGCGCACACATGCATGTGGCTACGGATACACTAATGCGCACACATGCATGTGGCTACGGATACACTAATGCGCACACATGCATGTGGCTACGGATACACTAATGCGCACATGCATGTGGCTACGGATACACTAATGCGCACATATGCATGCATCTATAGTTACACTGATGCACACGCATGAGGTTTCCTGTCTCCTGTCTTCTGTCTTCACAGTGTTCACTCTTGTGATATATGTCGATCCACATTGTTGCTGGTCATGTTCTTCCTCTTTTGTTTGAAACATGCACTCATTTACCTGCAAATACATGGATATCATATATACAGCCTTGTGTACAGATACACGTACACACCATCAAGGACCATGATGTAATCTCGCCTCTAGGAGCATGAACAAGTCCACCAGCAGGGGCCTTCGCTGAGCTCGCAGAGGCCGCGCACCTTGAAGTGCTCCACCTGCGATAAGGCCTTTGCCAAGCCCAGCCAGCTGGAGAGACACAACAGGACGCATACAGGTACCAGTGTCTGACACTGCGCTGCTGAATGAACGCGTTTCAGCTATTTGTAATGAACACAGGTTGAGTTTGAGATGCCTTAAGTCCAGAGAACAGCACCCTCACTGTAAGTAATGGGAATGCCGAGAGCGGCTGAGGAATAGCGGCTCAGCCCTGCAAGTAGCCGGCATGGGCGGGAACCGCGGGCCTCCTTCCGGAGGACGTCTGCCGGGGCGTTCAGAAAAGAACTCCAACCACAGTGCAGAGGCAGCACTACGAAAGGCTTTCAGCTGAATGAAAGGCAATTAGCTTGGCAGTCCAGCACCGCCACACATCCGGACCCCAGCCGCATGTCCTGTGCCGCCTCGTATACTCCACTGGTCCTCTTTGTCCCACCTCTTTGTTGTGTTTCTTAACGTTTTATAGTTCATATTTATGTATAACGTTTGTTTGTTTTATTGCATGTTATGTTATGAAATTTTCGCAACACTGAATCCAGTCTTTCTTACTTAACTTAATTGATAATTTAATAGTTTAATGTCTGTCATGCCTGCAACGTGGATGATTCTCCTTCCATCAGACTGTCATTTAACAGCTCAGCAAATATTAACAAATAATACAAAATCAGATTGCTATTAATAAATGAGCTGCAGTAATTGTACTACATTTCAGTACTGAATTATTTTCATTCATGTATAAGGTTTGACAGAATGAATTGACCAACTAGAAACTTGAATCTTTGTTGAATTGTCAGTGAGGTTTTGAATTGGAGAGGGCAGCATTTGATGGTGTGTAACTGTTTATACGGGCTGCTTTATATGGCAGTCGGTAAACAGTTATTTCATTTGCATCAAAGGTGCCATGTGACCTTTGGATCTCATTTCGAAGGAGATAATTAGTATTTTAGTGCACTGTAAGCTCCAAAAAGGTTATAGGCACATTCCCATAATGATTTCTGCTAAATGAGTTCATCGTTCATTAAGAGCCACACAGCGATGATTGTGCCATAGCAAAGGACACAGGCCTCTGCCTTTGACACCGTTGGTCCCCTGCTGGGTGTATGTGGCCACAACACTGATATATTCTGGGTGGCAAACATCCGCTTTAAAAAGCTGTTAGACACAGATTCTCCCTGCGTTAATTAGTGAGCGTTTCCATTTGGGCAAATTACTTAAAGTGCTTATGCAAGGCAGGACAGCTGGGGTCTTCATTCACAAAAGATTCACACGATTACATTTTTAATGGGGGGGGGGGGGTGGACATTCCAACAGAAACATTAAGAATGTTTCTATGTCATGGTGAACTTAGAGGGCATCTCTTCCAGGGTGCTCTTTGCTTTGTCGTGTTTGTGGATGTTCCTCACTACCAATAAAGATCATACATGTGTTCTTGGCAAGTCCGGTCTTATGAACTTGCCTTCTAAGAATGAACTTGGGGAGCAGTGAATCATTTTGGCAAGGATGCAACCAATGTATCCTTGATAACTGGGGCAGGGCAAGAATGACATCCAGGGATTTTGACAGTCCTCAGTACTTCTGTTATTAGTATTGGAACTGGTCTTATGGCAATGGAAGATGACATAAAAGATAGATGCTACTGTAGAATACAAGACTGGTCAAGTGCGCATATTGAGAAACACTCTTGGGTGGGAGGGAGGGATGGATGGATTGATTGACTGAGTTAGTGCATCGAATGTGCTGCGTTTCTCCATTTTTGCATGTGTGTTCAGGAGAGCGGCCCTTCAAATGCCCGCAGTGTGAGAAAGCTTTCAACCAGAAGAGCGCCCTGCAGGTGCACATGGTGAAGCACACAGGAGAGAAGCCCTACAAGTGCGAGGTGTGCTGCATCAGCTTCACGCAGAAGAGCAACATGAAGCTGCACATGAGGCGCTCACACAGCTACGGTGGGTGGTGAGGTCCACAGTGCAAGGCACAGGTCAGGGGAAGGTGGTGTTCCTGTGAAATTAGAGAGTTCTGCGGGAAAAGCGTGCAAGAGGTTTGGTTAAACGTTTTCAGGGGAAAAAGCCATTTTTAAAAGAAACCCTTTCCCTAGATCTCTCCCACAGACTGTGCTGTGAGCTTGTATTTACAGTATAAATGCATTTGTGCTTCCCAAGCTGTGGGACTTCACCTTTAAGTGGTCATGCTTTTACAATTTAGCTGGATTTCTGCGGATCTACTGCAGAGCCTTTTGAGCCCTTATTCCTGGGGGGGGG